AAAAAAAAAAAACAGCCTGATCTACAAAATGAGACACTGTCTTAAAACAAACAACAAAAAAAATCAATTATAGTTCATGTTTTTAAAATATACTATAGTATTTCACATATTTCACACATATCTCATAAAACCTAGGTTCCCTGCCCCCCACATACTTCAAAATCTTTGAAACTAGGGGCTAGGAAGGTGGCTCAGTGGTAGAGCGCTTGCCTTGCATGCCTGAGGCCCTGGGTTCGATTCCCCAGCACTACATAAGCAAAAAGAAAAAAAGCCGGAAGTGGCGCTGTGGCTCAAGGGGTAGAGGCTAGCCTTGAGCTGAAGAGCTGAGGGACAGTTCCTAGGCTCAGTGTTCAGGCCCAATGACCGGATCAAAAAAAAAAAAAAATCTTTGAAACTAGTATTTCCTTTCTCAGCAGTGCCAATTTACTAGTGTTATCAGCCACGCTGCAGTCACAGCATTTTCTCACTGCCTGTATATACATTAATTGATGTAGGTATCAGTACTTGTTACATCTAAGATGAAAATACTCAACTTATTAAGATTACGATTTAAAAGTCTCAAAGACTTGAGGCTGGAAAGGTGGCTCAGTGGTAGAGCGCTTGCCTTGCATACCTGAGGGCCTGGGTTCGATTCCTCAGCACCATGTAAGAAAAAGAAAAAAAGCCGGAAGTGGCATTGTGGCTCAAGTGGTAGAGCTTTTTGAGCTGAAGAGCTGAGGGACAGCGTCCAGGCCCAGAGTTCAGGCCCCATGACCAGACCCCCCCCCAAAAAAAACAAAAGTCTCAAAGACCTAAATACTATGTTTATTTGCTTTTTCTCTTTTCTAATTTATTTTTGCAGTGTTTACAGGTCTCCTGAATACTTCAGAAAATGTTCTATCATATCCTAAGCCCAGTTATGAACTGCACACCCATAATCCCAACTACATGGGAAACAGAAGAATCATAAATTCAAGGTAAACTTGGTTAGTAAGAACCTGTCTCAAAAAAACTAAAATGAAGCCAGGTACCAGTGGCTCACGCCTGTAATCCTAGCTACTCAGGAGGCTGAGATCTGAGGATCACAATCCAAAGCCAGCCTGGACAGGAAACTCCGTGAGACTCTTATCTCCAATTAACTACCAGAAAACCATACAGAAATGGCACTGTGGCTCAAGTGGTAGAGCGCTAGCCTTGAGCAAAAAAGCTCATGGACAGCACCCATGCCCTGAGTTAAAGCCTCAAGACAAGCATACATATGCACACATGTGCATGTGTGCATGCGTACACATACACACACACACACACCTAAAATCAGGTCAGTCATGTGAATTTAATGTTCCCCTGTTGGGCTGGGAAGGTGGCTAAGTGGTAGAGTGCTTGCCTTGCATGCATGAGGCCCTGGGTTCGGTTCTCAGCACCACATAAGTAGAAAAAGCTGGAAGTGGCACTGTGGCTCAAGTGGTAGAGTGCCAGCCGTGAGCTGAAGAGCTGAGGGACAGTGTCCAGGCCCAGAGTTCAGGCCCCATGATTGACAAAAAAAAAAAAGTCCTCTGTTTCTGCAAGTTTGCTTTTAGCAGTTTCAGTTACCCATAGCCAACTGCAGGTCACAGGTGTTGAATTATATGCTGTTTAGAGTAGCATAAAGTAACTGAAACCAGACCCTGCTCTAACCCACCATTTCTTGAAATACCCTTTTGTCTAACATAGTCATGCTACACGGTACCTACCTGTTAGTTACTTAGTAGCCACCTTCGTTATGAGTGTTGTATGTATTGCTTGATAAAAACCTGCAACTTTAAGAACCTACTGAGGGCCTTGGAATATGGCTCCATGGATAATTTGGGATAGCTATAAACAAATGAAAATAAGCCTTACCTTGTCCTGTAACTATGACAGCTATTCCTTTTTCTAGTTCTTCAATACCTTTCTTATACCATTCCACAGCTTGATCTTTCTGTCCTGCTTTAAAATAGAAATTACTATTTGAATATATAACAAATATGAAGAGTATTCCCCACATTTCCCAAAGCATGCTGTTGACAGATGAGAAATGAAAAGATCAAACAAGTACAAAGAACATTACTATAGATTTTTTGGTACTTTTAGCATGTTAGTATGTACATGCTTCTTTTTTTTTTTTTTTGTCGGTCGTGGGGCTTGAACTCTGGGTCTGGGCGCTGTCCCTCAGCTCTTCAGCTCAAGGCGAGCGCTCTACCACTTGAGCTACAGCGCCACTTCCGGTTTTCTGGTGGTTTATTGGAGATAGGAGTCTCACGGTCTTTCTTACCCGGGCTGGCTTTGAACCTCGATCCTCAGATCTCAGCCTCCTGAGTATCTAGGATTACAGGCGTGAGCCACCAGCGCCCGGCTTGTACATGCTTCTTTAACAGAGAATATCATCGCAAAATTTTAAGTTTTGATAATTTTTTTGTTGTCTTGTAATATTGATATTCTAGCCACTAAATAAATGGTTTTTAACATATATATGATATATAGTTAGAAAATATAAAATTTCAATAATAGTAGACAAAAAGCACTTTCACTATAACTACAATGTAATCTAATATAATATGTCCATCGTTGACTGCCCTTGTATAAATCTGTATTTAACAAAAGATTGAAAAAACAAACATAAACAAAAAAAACAAAACACAAAACCTCACAAACGACTGCATCATGAGAACTGGCAAATGATTTGGTTTTATGTGACATGTAGTAATACATTTCTGTTTTCTTTGAAACAAAAGACTGTTTTAAAATAGTTCTGCTTGCTGGGCGCCAGTGACCCATACCTGTAATCCTAGCTACTCAGGAGGCTGAGATCTAAGGATTGCCATTCAAAGCCAGCCTGGGCAGGAAAGTCTGTGAGACTCTTATCTCCAATAATTACCAGAAAATCAGAAGTGGCACTGTGGCTCAAGTGGTAGAGCACTGTCCTTGAGCTGAAGAGCCAAGGTACAGCACTCAGGCTCAGAGTTCAAGCCCCATGACCAACAACAACAATAACAACAAAAGTTCTGCTAAGATCTGCTGATTGTAGTTTGAAGCCAGCCCAGACAGAAAAGTCCTCCAGAAACACTCATCTCCAATTAAACACTCAGAAACCAGAAGTGGTCCTATGGCTTAAGTGGTAGAGCACTCACTCGCCTTGAGCACAGGCTCAGGAACAGTGTCCAGGCCCTGAGTTCAAGCCCCACATAAAAACAAACAAACGGGCTGGAAAGGTGGCTCAGTGGCAGAGTGCTTGTCTCGTATTCATGAGGCTCTGGGTTCGATTCCTTAGCACCACATAAACGGAAAAAGCCAGAAGTGGCGCTGTGTCTTAAGTAGTAGTGCGCTAGCCTTGAGCTGAAGAGCTGAGGGACAGTGCCCAGGTCCAGAGTTCAAGTCCCACAACCGACAAAAGAAAACCCCGAAAAAAAACAAACATTAGCCAGTTAAAAAAACAGAACTGGGGGCTGGGAATGCGGCTTAGTGGTAGAGTGGTTGCCTAGCACGCATGAGACCCTGGGTTCTATTCTTTGGTACCACATTAAAACAAAATAAAACAAAAAACAGAAGTAGGGGTTAAAGGTGTAGCTCAGGTGACACACGCAGAAATGGAGCTTTGTCTCAAATGATAGAGTGGTAGCCTTGAGTAAAAGACTGCCTTGAAAGAAAAAGAGTAGCAGAAACTAGAATAGAGATTTAACCATATTCTAGTATGACCTCTAGAAGATCTAATCTTTTTTTTTTTTTTTTTTTTGCTGGTCCTGGGGATTGAACTCAGGGCCTGGGCTCTGTCCCTGAGCACTTGCTCAAGGCTAGTGCTCTACCACTTGAGTCACAGCACCACTTCTGGCTTTTTCTGTTTCTGAGGAATCGAACCCAGAGCTTCATGCATGTTAGTGTAAGCACTCTACCATTAAGCCACATTGTTAGCCAGCAGACCTAATCTGAAAGGACTAAAATGATAATAGTTTCAATTTATTAAATGCATTTACTGAATTTCATCTATTATATGCAGCATTTATACCCACTACAGCAATACACTAATTTGTCTCAAATCTTATAATCAAGACTATGTCAATTTAGATAAGAAGTTTTGCAAGTGAAAAGGAGTAATACTAGATTTTCAAAGCAAGAAAGGAAAAAAAAAAAAAGTAGTCTCTGACACCAGACACTGACCTAGTACCATCAACTTGGCCTTAGTGTAACTAACTAGGAGCTGACATGGCATTTATAGCCAGTAATGGGTTGAATTTCACAGGCTATCACTATCAGATAAGGCTGCTCTGACTAAAATAGAACAAAACCACTCTAAACACAGACAAAATATAAATATGGTCCAACAATGGAATACCAAACATCTACCTCTTCCAGTTAATTAATAATCAATTACATAAGAAATCTCCACTCTTGGGCTGGGAAGGTGGCTCAGTAGCAGAGTGCTTGCCTTGCAATGCATGAGGCCATGGGTTCGATTCCTCAGCATCACATAAGTAAAAAGAAAAAAGCTGGAAGTGGAGCTGTGGCTCAAGTGGTAGAGCATTAGCCTTGAGCTGAAGAGCTGAGGGACAGCGCCCAGGCCTGGAGTTCAGGCCCCACAACCGGACCCAAAAAAAAAAATCTCCACTCTGGGGCTGAGAAGGTGGCTTAGTGGTAGCGTGCTTGCCTTGCTATGCATGAGGCCCTGGGTTCGATTCCTCAGTACCACATAAGTAGAGAAAGCCATAAGTGGTGCTGTGACTCAAGTGGTAGCCTTGACCTGAAAAGCTGAGGGACAGAGCCCAGGCCCAGAGTTCAGGTCCCATGACTGACAAAAATAAAACTCCATTCTAGTATTTCCTCCTTCTAGATAGGGTTTATAAACTTGTTCAGTTAATGGAGACACACACACACAAATATTTTAACCTATAGGATGTCTAGCATGAACAGCTATTAATTTCCAAAGCAAGAGAAAAAAATGTTACATAGGCACATTAATATTTTCACTAGTTTGTCAGAGTACTATAGAAGACTGAATAAAACTAGTACATAAGTATAGACAATCAGGTGGAGACATGGCTCAGCAGTAGGGCACCTGCTCAGTAAACCAGAAGCCCTGAGCTCAAACCCCAGTACATAATCTCTACTTTGCCAGATGTCAAAATCCAATCCATTCTTGGGTAGTGGAGAAGAATAAAGCAGGATCAGGAAAGGCACTTCAATTCTTCAATCACTTAATATGCTTTTCCTGACTCCCCTCCTGCCGCCTTTTATTTTTTTTTGCCAGTCCTGGGACATGAACTCAGGGCCTGGGCACTGTCCCTGAGCTTCTTTTGCTCAAGGCCAGCACTCTACCACTTGAGCCACAGTGCCAATTCCAGCTTTTTCTGTGTATGTGGTACTAAGGAATCAAACCCAGTGCTTTACAGATGCAAGGCAAGCACTCTACCACTAAGGCACATTCCCAGGTCATCCCTCAACTGTTACCAAGATAACTAAGAATGGCTGGGAATGAGGTAGAGTGTTTGCCTAGGATGCATGAAGCCCTGGGTTCGCTTCCTCAGTACAATGTAAACAGAAAAAGCCAGAAGTAGCACTGTGGCTCAAGTAGTAGAGTGTTGGCCTTGAGCTCAGGGACAGTGCCCAGGACTGAGTTCAAGCCCCAGGACTGGCCAAAAAAAAAAAAAAAAGATAACTAAGAGTAATACTGTAAATCTAATTACCAGCCTGAGATCTGAAGGATTATGGTTCAAAAGCAGCCAAATGCAAATCTGTAAGACAGCATCTTCAAAATAACCTGCAAAAAAGTGGTTTGGAAAGCTAGGAGGGCACAGGTGGCTCACACTTGTAATCCTAGCTACTACGTGCTTGAGATCTGAGGATCCTGGTTTGAAGCCAGCCTGAGCAGTAAAGTCCCAGTGAGACCCTTATCTCCAACTAACCACTCAAGAACCACAAATGGCACTGTGGCTCAAGTGGCAGAATGTTAGCTTTGAGCACAAAGAGAACTCAAGGACAGCACCCAGGCACTAATGGCTCACACCTATAATCCTAGCTTCTCAGGATGCTGAGATCAGAGGATTGTGGTTCAAAGCCAATCTCAAGGAAAAGCCTGGAAATGGAGCTAAGGCCCAAAGTGGCAGAGTATTAGCCTTGAGTGAAAGAGCTCAGGGGCAGTGTCCAGGCCCTGACTTCAAAGCCCCACGACCCCACCTCCAAATAAAAAAAAGCCAGAAGCGGAAGCCAGGTGTTTGTGGGTCAAACCTGTAATCCTAGCTACTCTGAAGACTGAGATCTGAGGATCATGGTTCAAAGCCAGCTTGGGCAGGAAAGTCCAATAAACCATCAGAAAACCACCAGAATGGCTCAGTGGCTCAAAATGGTAGAGTGCTAGACTTAAGCAAAAAGCTCAAGTACACACACACACACACACACACACACTCACTCACTCACTCACTCACTCACTCACTCTGGTTTGGGTCATCTGGCAACAACAATCCTAAGCAAGTTGAGTGAGTTTGGTCCCAAGTTCAAGCACAAAGAGTAATAGAATGGAGAGGGAAGGTGGCAATAGAAACAGAACATGTATAATGTCCCAAATTGTGGCTATTGTTTGGTTTCTTTAGTGCAAATCCCACTAAACTTTTTTTTTTTTTCCCCTAGTCATGAGGCTTGAACTCTGGGCCTGGGTGCTGTCCCTCAGCTCTTCAGCTCAAGGCTAGCATTCCACCACTTGAGCCACAGTGCCACTTCTGGTTTTCTAGTAGTTTATTGGAGATAAGAGTCTCATAGATTTTCCTGCCTGGGCTGGCTTCAAACCATGATCCTCAGATCTCACAGCCTCCTGAATAGTTAGGATTAAGGTGTGAGCCTCCAGCACCTGGCTTCCAATATCCTTTTATCACATGAATTCTCTTTTTTTTCCTCTCTCCCTTTCTCTCCTCGGTTCTTCCTAGCCAATTCCGCTAAATATTAGAAACTTGTGATATTGAACC